TCTGAGGTGCTGTCTCCTGTCCCCACAGGGTCATGCACGACGAAGTGAGCGAAACGGAGAACATCCGCAAGAACCTGGCCATCGAGCGCATGATCATCGAGGGCTGTGAGATCCTGCTCGACACCAGCCAGACCTTTGTGAGGCAAGGTGCGGCCCGGGTCACTGGGCAGCTGCTACCAAAACCTACCCAGGGGGTGTGGCGTGTTCAGGGCTGCTGGCCGAACAAGATAGCTGCCTGTCCGTATCTACACATTCAGCTGCAGATAGGACTGGTCTCTGCACTGCCCCTCGCGCCTGCTGTAAACGTAATTCTGCCCAGGTGGCCTCGGTTGGTAGTGTCTGTCATTGTTCGCATCAGCATGCCCTATCTCGGGCGTGGAGCAGGGTGACCACTGGCTGTTGCCCTGTGAATCGCAGGCCTTGGCAGTGCCTGTGATGAAGCTGGAGCTGAGCTGCCTTTTGGGTCCTCTGGGCCTCTCCTCTGCTGTGCCCCTCTGGTTCTCACGGGAAGGTGCCCCGGCCCCTTCCACCTCAGTGTACTGTGAGCCCAGTGTCTGAGAGAGACAGCTGTGTTTAGAGAGGTGGTAGAGGCCCCTTGGGACTGAGGGGATTAAAGACCCACAAGTGGACTTCAGATCTGGGAGATGCGTAAAGGTCAGCTTGTCCACATTCCATGTGCTGTGGGAAACTCGCTTTCTCGCTGAATGCCCCAGAGGTGGCCTCCCGCCTCCGAATGGGAGACTTCCCGCCAAAGTCCCTTCTGTCTCTAACTTGTGGCTGTCCAGTGGATCTGGGCTCTGGTGAGCCCCCTGTGTGTCACTAGAATTGCCCCGTGGCATTTCCTGACCGTAATCTTCACAGAAACAGATGTCACTGGGTGGACTCAAACAGCCAGCCTCACTCTCATCTAGTCGGTCTGCCTCACGGCACTATAGGACCGAGCAGCACTGCCCCTGTGGAAAGACTCGTCTTTCTCTTGTGCAGCAGCTGGTGGTTTCAAACTGCTGACCTTGCCATTAGCAGCCCAGTGTGTAACCACTACACCCCCAGGGCTGCTAGTCTAAACTGTTTGGGCCACCCAGGGCCCTTGCTCCAGACCCGGGGTTCCCTGACCAGATGAAAACCCTCCCGGCACCCCCCACCCCCATGAGACTGCCCCTGGCCCCTGCTGCCCTGAACAAGGGTAATGTCCTAGTTTTGTTCCAAGTCACTGTGTGGGGCCACTCTGCCCTTTTCTAAGGCCCTTCTTGATCCCTGCTGAGCCCGAGCCAGCCCTGCCTGTATGTCAGCTGCCTCTGAGCTGTGCAGGGCACACTCTATATCAGAGGTGGCCTGTGTTAGCCTGGATAGACTAGAGAAACAAATTCATAGACATACTCATATGTGTGTAAGAAAGAGGTTTCTATACAAAAGCAATTGAATATTGAGAAAACATTCCAGTCCAGTCCAGATCAAGTCCATAAGTCCGATATTAGCCCATATGTCCCATACCAATCTATAAAGTTCTCTTCAGACTCACAAAACATATGCAATGACGCCGAATGCAGGAAGATCACAGGCCAGTGGGTGGGAAGTCTTGTGGGTCCAGTGGCGTTGTAAGCATCTCAACACTGGCAGGGGTCTCCACGTGGCTTCTCTAGCTCAGGGCACAAGCAGGGAACTAGAGTAGCTCCATGTGCCTTCTCAGCTAGAATGTCTCCCAGGGATTCTGCAGAGAGAGAGAGAGAGAAAATCTCCCATCTCCAAGGAGGCATGCAGGAGTTCCCAGAATCTTCAGGAGAGTGCCATGCCCCACACAGGCCTCATTGGCTAAGACCTGATTGACAGGCTAGACTCCACCCCTTCACTCTTAATCCTCTCAAATTGACAAATGATTATATAACTACCACGTGTCCCCACAAGCCAGGAGTTGGCTCCATCATCTCCTCACCTCCCATGGGTCTGGCCATGAGAAAGTGGGGCCCAGCAAGCCCCTTTTTCCTCCTTGTTCCATCTGCGCCCCAGCAGCACAAGAGAGTGTTCATGTTGCCCTGACAATGGTGGACTCATCCTCCCAGACACTCCTGGCAGGAAGCCACCAGATAACCAACCCTGAAACAAGCACCAAGACCGCCCTACAGGGGCTGCAGGAGACCGGAGGACCAGATCCCGCCCCGTCCTCCAGGGTCAGCTGTAGTGAAAGGGCCTCCTCGAGAGATGTTCCAGGCCACTGGTGGACATCAGCAGGAGGGAGTGTGGTGGCCCAGAGCAGGACTGGGGAACCAGGGAAAGCCTTCTAAAGAAAGTGGCACTTTAGGTGGGGTCTTGAAGCATAAGTAGGAGTTCCCTCGGTAGATAAAGTGAGGAGAGGATTTTCCAGGTCTAGGAGTAGCATTAAGAGAGCCACGGGTCTAGGACTAGATAGAAAATGACGAGAGAGGGGGCTGGAGAGATGGGCCTGACAGCTAATGCCTTGAATGCCCGAATCCTGGGGCCCATGAGGCATCCCGAGTTGGGATTGAAGCATCCCGAGTGGGAAACTGAGAGCTGTTGAGCATGTATTAGGGACAGGATTCTTAGGCAGGTATAGCCATCGGGTGTCCACACAGACACCTACTCTGCCTGCTCGGCAATGTCTTCCCAAAGCTCTATGTTGAAAAGGACTGAGACTGTCGGGCGCTGCAAGAAAGAGTGCACTGATCGATTGGTAATGTCTGTCATGGCTGCATGTGGTAGCCTTCTGCCTCTTCCCAAAGCCCTTCATTCTCACCAGACAGGCCACCCCTACCCTTGAGGGCTCCCTTTTCTCATCAAGGCCACGGGGCATCAAGGGGTCCTGCGCAGAGCATCTGATCATCCCCCCTGCCACCTGGTCCTGAGGGGGCACTCAGAGGAAGGGCTGAGGGCAGGCTGGTGGCCAGGGGACAGGAGTGCCGTGTCTCAGCCCCACACACGACATCAGGCCAGAGGCAGGGTCATCCTTGGAGGTGGGCTCGGCATGTCACTTGTCCCCCCGCAGGTTCCCTCATCCAGGTGCCCATGTCCGAAAAGGGCAAGATCACCAGAGGGCGCCTGGGGTCCCTGTCGCTGAAGAAGGAGGGCGAGCGACAGTGCTTCCTGTTCTCTAAGCACCTGATTATCTGCACCAGAGGCTCTGGTGGGAAACTGCACCTGACCAAGGTAAGGGACCAGCAAGAGGGGCTGCTGGTGTGACGGTGGGGGGCGGGCAGGGGAGGGCTGCGCGCGCATGTGCGCACACACACTCGCACACATGCCAAGTGACCTGGTTTACCTGGCTAGTTACGGTGACAGGCTGTTGACTGAGTTCCCCCTGGAAGGATCATGAGAAATGGGGAGGTGAGCATTGACAGAACTGGGCGCCTTGGCCTGGACAAACCACCTCAAAGGCCGGTGCTGTGTGTGAGTGTGCGTGCATGTGTGCGTGCGTGTGTGTTGGGGGCGGGCGAGTGTAAAGGACAGGGCAGAGGATGATCTCTCCAGAGCCTCTCTCTCATTTCCAAGCTAAGGGGCTCTCTCAGCTCTTTGTGCCAGCCCAGGGGCACTTTCTGGGGACCAGCCATGCCAGCCCTGGACACAGTGTGGGTGTCACACACAGAACCCACCCTCGGGACTCAGAGGAGGCCCCACCTGCTGTCCTGACCCTCCCACTTGTCTCCCAAACGTGGAGGCCAACAAGCATCTGCTCCTGCTTCCTCAGACAGCCCTGGTGGTTAAGGGGTTAAGTGCTGCTAACCCACTGGCAACTGGGGGGCGGAGGGGTGGGGGTGGGCAGACGAGGCAGCCTGCTGTGAGCACTTCTACTTGGGCCTGTAATCCACTGGTGGGCAGAGGGTCTGTTTGCGTTTCCTACTTCCTCAATGACCCCTCCTGACTTCCACACTGCAGCCCAGCCATCCTGCTTCCCTGGCAGCCTCCCTCATGCCCTGCATGGCCTTCAAGGCCCCGTGACCATGAAGCCTGCGCCCCAGCAGAGTCTACTGCCCCAAGACCTACCACACGTGGTGCTCTGAGCACGTGGGGCCTGCCCCACCGCTATCACTGGCACACACGTGACCCTGGAGCCCTCTGCACCGCCTCAGCTTCCCATCTGTAAAATGGGGAGAAGGGGCCTCACAGGGCCTGGTGCAGAGGCAGCAAGCCAGTGGTGGGTATCCATTTGCTCTTTAGATCACAGGGCGCTTCCATGAGAGGCCCTGCGTGTACACACACACACACACACACACACACACACACACCACCCCCCACCACCACCCCCTACCAGCTCCGTGGCCAGCCCCGTGGAAGCTGCCTACAGCAGATTTCAAATCCATACCAGCCTCGGCCTGGGAAAGGCCAGAGCAGCGGGGAAACTGTTCTCCCGGGCCTGGATGCCCGGCCCGCCACCTCCCGCAGCGCAAATAGATCAAGCGATGACTTCGGGGAATACGCTGCTTATGTGAACATGTCGACAAATTAGTTGGTTGGCTGCACAAGGGGAAATTAATTTACAAATATTGAATACTCCAGTTTCAACCAATTTATGTATCCAGGAAGTCTTCCATTATTCATTAGCTCTGGCGCGTTCTGCTGAAGCATCTCTGTCCGAGCGCTGGAGAGGCAGCCCCCTCAGCGGGCCAGGGCCAGAGGGGCGGGTGGGACTAAGAGACCTTAAGGGCCCTTCCTGCCCAGGCAGTGTGAAAGCACTGGTTGTGCTGTTGGTTCGGTGGTTAGGCATCAGGCTGCCAACCCCAAGGTGAGCAGTTTGAAATTGCCAGCCACTCCCTGGAGGAGAAAGGAGGCTTTCTGCTTCTGTAAAGAGTTACCATCTCAGAAAACCACGTGGCCACCTCCGGCCTGTCCTGGTGGGTCGCTGTGAGTCGCACTGTGCTCAATGGCAATGAGCTCGGTTTGAGTTTTGGAACTTTGCTTGAGTTTTCGTTTTTGTTTCTGGATTTTACACATCAGAGCATATTGGTGAAGAGCATCTGGTCAGATGCCATTCCGAATCTACTGCTGCCACTTACCGCTGGGTGCCATTACATGCCTTACCAAACCTCCCTTTCCTTATCTGCACAAGAGCCATGAGCATCCCACGACATGTAAGGCCTCTAAGGAGTAAGGAAGGTGGCCCGTGCGAAGTCCATAGCCCAGTGCCTGGTACAGAGTAGGTGCTCCACACAATCTTTGTTCCTCTAAATTATGTCACAACAGTAATAGCAAGCCCCTGTCTGCTGAGTCCTGTGGGCCAGGCAGTCCCTGGGTGGTATAAGCCGTTAACGTGCCCAGCTGCTCGCTGGGAGTTGGCAATGCAAATCCAAAGGGCGGTGCCTCTGAAGAGCATGGTGAACATCTGAGACGTGAGCCACTGAAGACC